ACATGGAACTTTCAAGCTCAGGTTGTAAAAGGTAACATGCTGTCTCCACCTCCCCCGCTTTCTCAAGATTCTTGTCCTTGGAATTCAGCCACCATGTTATAAGGAAGCCTGGGCCACACGGGGAGGTCTTATGTGGGCCTTCTGCCCACATTACCAGTTAGGTCCCCAGTCAACAGCCAGCATCAACCACTAGACACAGGAAGGAACAGCCCTAAGATGATTCAGCCTTGCAGCCCCACACATTGTGAAGCAGAGAGAAGACATCTCCACTGTGCCTTATCTGAATTCTTGGTCCACGGAGGGAGATACTAGAAGATTATTGTTTAGGGGGCAATTGTTATGCAGGAGTGACTGAAACACACACAGTTAGTCACATGTTGTATTTCAAAAGGGTTGTACCAAGTTGCAGTGCCACCACCAGGGGAGGGATGCGGCAGACTCACCACAACCCCGTGAGTCCTGGAGTGTAGCCTCTTTGTGGGCCACGCTTACCCCAAACTGCAAATCTCATCTCCCCTGAACTGTAAGCTCCTTGAGGGGATACATCACTGCATTTTTGTTCACAGTTCTTAGCAGACACTTGGCAAATGCTTGTGCATCTGTATATTCATTAAAAGTATACATAGCCAGGGTATGTGTTGTCCTGGCCAGGAAGTACAGACTCTGACCGTGGAGTGGACTGAAGTATCTTGGTCTCCTCATCAGAGAAAGCAGATTCCAGAGCAGCAGTTCGGAAAACACATCTTCTAGTCCATTTATACACAAACTTGGAGGAAACTCTATAGTGTTTCCGGGAACATGATAATGGTTTCCTGTAACTGGATCAGAGCATTCCCAGCCCTCATATCTTGCATCCAGCCCAATACAGCTCCAGCTGTGAGGGCTTTTAAGATGCCACCAATTTTGCATTCTACTGAGAAACTACTGGCAGATACATATCTAGTTGGCTTTTCTCCTCCAGCCTTGTGTATATTCTTTATTATTCAATCAATTTTTACACAGCCCAACGAAAAGGAATGCATGGAAATGTAGAGCAGGGCCCTCTGGCCTTCCCTTTTACAATTTTAGATCCATGGCCAGTTGCCAGCTCCTTGCTTTCTTCTCTGCCATACTTCTACTTACCAGCCAGGGAGCTCTCCATGGTCTTCAGCATGGAAAGCACACTCATCAAAAATGCCAGTCCAAATAAAGAAAATTATTTTTCAAGTGACCTGTGTCTACTTAACCCAATTATTAATTCAGCAAATATTTACTGAACACCTAACATCCACTTGCCCTCAAGGACCTTAAAGAAGCTGCAGTCTAATAGAATCTTCATCATTTACAGGAATTCCGTCCATCCAAGAGACTTGCAGATTCCCTTGGGTATTTGTTCTAGCATTGCCCCACTATTACACCTGGCAGGGTAGGGTCAGGAGGACAAGCCAGCCTGTGGGTGGTTGAGTGGAGAGGGGGGATATGTGGGGAAACAGAGTTGTCAGGTGGGAAAAAGTAGCAATTTACTCAGAGATACAGTTTAAATGAAAGATCATTTCTCCGGCTATAAAGAAATCTAGTGTTTTATTTAAGAGACACTGTATTCTAGGATGTGGACTTTGCCTCCAGGTTCTAGCCAAGGCACTTGGTCTAAGTGGAGTCTAACCACCACTTTAAGGTAGTTAACTCCAGGAATTTTCAAGATGGCATCAAAAAAAAAAATTTAAAGCATGATGCAGAATATTTACCTGGAAGCAGAGCATTGTACTGAACTTATTTTTAAGGGTGGTTAACTAACTTGAGATGGAAGTCATATAACACCTTTTCAAACCACCAGGTTTCAGGGCTGATGGCTTCAGTTCAGACTTCCTTCTGCCAGGTCTCACTTTCATGAGTTAGCGGAAATACTCCTCTGCCCCTCAGGCTGCGCAGTGGATGATACCCTCCCCATCAGGAATACAAGGCGCCTTTCTTTGGAGCTGGAGCTCAGTAAGCTGATGCCTATATTCTGGGCCAAAACTATCACAGAACTGCCTGATTTCAGTCTACACACCATGTGTTTGAGGAAGAATCATGCCCGGCTGCTGCTCCTAAAAAAACAAGTTTTGCCCCCAACAGAGCAGATCACCACCTTCTGACTTTCCTCCTATGGGATGCAGTGCATGAAAGCAGAGTCTGATTCAGGGTTGTTATTTTTTCCTTCTAGTTTAGAAATGGGAAAGGAAGGAGACAGTGTTTCCTTGGTAGACCAGAAAGCCCGGCCTTCAGGATACAAGGGTGGTACTGTCTCTGACTGGGGGATGGCCAGGTCTGGGATGGGGGAAGGAAAGAGGGAGCAGGAGGCAGATAGAGCTGGGCTAGGACGGTTGGGGTGGGTGTTGAGTGTGTCAAGGCATGAAGATCTGTGTACATCTCAGCACGATCCAAGGATGAGAGTTGCTTTACAATGCCAAAGGGGCCATTTCCTAGTTTTACACTAATATTATTTTGAAAGACTTTTTAAAGCCATTTTTTCCCCTTACCTGAAAGCACTGTCTTCCTCTATTTTCGTTCAGCTTCTCAATGATCTCTGAGGTATGAAGAGTATTTTTATCTTATAATCAGAAATCACAGTGTAAAAGGTGACTTGCCCCGCCCCAAAAGTGACAGGGCTCAGTCCTCCCAAGTCTCAGCCCATTCAGGCCAGTGGTCCTTCTAGCCAGACTGACTGGAATATTCATTTCATTTTGTTGTTCATCCACAACAGTGCCTGGGGTTGTTTGCATGTTGACTTTGTTACAGAATCTCTTTGAGGTCACTGCTGTCCTTGGTGGACAGGGCTCTGGGTGCACACGAGGCTGTTCTCCATACCTATCCTGCTGTACTGGACTCTCTTCCCTAATCCTAACTGAGGTGCCACCCTCTGTAGAATCCATAACCTGTCCCCCAGATCAGTGCGGTTCATTCAGTGTGGAAATGGAATTACTGATGACCATCCAGGGATCAAATTAGAGATGTGGCTCAAAGCTAGTACCTGACAATCCTGCAGCTCAGCAGAAGGCCACTGGCATACACCATGAGACGTGGCAATGTCAGCAGGGACCAAAAAACACAGATGCTGAATGTGCAAACCCCTCTCAGGCAGACACGCCTCCACACAGACCCTTCCCAAAAGCGTTCCTGCCAGAGATCCCAGTCCTCTGCTTATCCTCCTGCACTTCTGGCTCTATCTAATCTGGGGACAGCAGTGACTGAAGCCACCTGGAGGGATGGGTGAGCCAGCTAGCCTCTCTCAGCCCCTCATAGTGGAACCTGCAGCATCTGGGACAATGTGCTGCTGCTAAATGCAACGACTTCACCCCAGGTCACTAATAAAGACACCCAATAATACACGGAATTGGCTGTCTTTTTCCTAATGCCTACCCTTTTCAGGCAGAGCCCCCTGCTGCAGCTCTTTAGGCCTGAGACTGTTTCCTCCTCCTTAGGCCTACCCACAAAAGGAAAGTCAGTATGCCTGGCTGCTAAAAAGATGTCCTAGAAAGAGAACTCAAGCCTTTTCTAAAAGGTAGACTTTAGCCATCGTCTAGTCTTCCTGAACAGCAGCACAGCTCAGACTAGTAAAAAAATCTCAGGTCTTGTATGAGGATGAGACAAGCTATGAGGACTCACCATTAGAGAGACTAAAAGTCGCTTCTGAATTCATTCATATGGCTACTAAGTGTCAAAAAAGGGGCACAGATCTAATCACCCTGGGGGAGAAATGACTGCCAGCTGGAATGGTCAGGACCAACTCCAAAAAACAGCAGGTTTAATTACAGCGAAGTCTCAAGGCAGGGGTAGACTGTAGAGGGGGAGGGGGCATCCCCAGAGAGTGATCAGGATGGGAAGGGGTAGCGTGCAGACAGCCCAGCAAGGAGCAGCCTGCACTGGCTAAAGCCAAGGATCCAGGTGGATAAGGCTAGCTTGGGGCCAGATTGTGGAGGGCTTTAAATGTCAGGCCAAGGAATTTATCAGGAGAATGAAATGATCAAACAGGTGTTTTAGAAAGATGAATTCGAAGAGAGTGGGCAGGATGAATTGGAAAATCTAGAAGCATGGCAACAATTAGGAAGCTGTGAGATTAATTAGGCTGTTGTAGTAGTCCTGTGTGAGTTGATAAGGGTGTAAATGAGGACAGTGGCAGCAGGAATGGAAAGGGACAGCTGCAAGAGACATTGTTAAGAAAGAATGGATGAGATTGCTGCCTGATTGGACTGGGGACCCGGGGAGCTCAAGGAATCAAGATGACAGCAGAGTTTTGAGTGTGGGTGACTGGTAGTACAATGAACAGAAAAAGGGATATTAGAAGAGGGAGCTGTTTCAGCAGATGTGAATTCAGTTCCAGACATGGAGAGTGTGCAGGATATCCAAATGGGAATGTCTGACAGGTCACAGGAAATTTAACACTGGGGCTCAGGAGAGACGGTATGGTTGGTGATGAACTTGGGAATCAAATGCAGAGAGGTGATAAATGAACCCATGGAATGGATGAGATCTCTTAGGAAAAGCATATACAGTGAGACAGAGGACCAAAGCCTGTATGGTAGCTCACAGAGAAAAAAAATGTAACAATGAATATATACATGTTCATGTATAACTGAAAAATTGTGCTCTACACTGGAATTTGACACAACATTGTAAAATGATTATAAATCAATAAAAAAATGTTAAAAAAAGGGACCAAAGCCTGACTTTTGAGGAATGCCAGCATGTAAAGGATTTATACTACAAAGCTGAGTTTAGAAGTGCTACCTACATGCAGCATGTCTTCACCATTAAAGTATCAGTTTAAAGTGTATATGAGTCTGAGAAAGCCGAGCAACACAGCATTTTTGTCTCAGTAGGCACTAAATGATAAACACCTAAATATGACCATAAAACAGAAGTAAAGGCTGATATTCATAGAGAAAAAAAGAATAAGTGATGCAATGAACATAATCTAGAAGATTAGTGGGTTTGGTCCAACAAGGATGAGTCAAGTAAAGCAAAGAAAAATTTGTGAGAAATATACTATAAATGCCATTTAATTAGAGAAAAGTAGGTATTTACTCATTTTAACACAAGGACCAAAAAATTTACCATATCTGCAGTGCACTGTCTTCCTGAAGTATGAATTCAAACTAATTCATCAAAATATTTTTAATAAAAGCTACATTAAAGTATATGCTGCCTCAAACATTTGTGAAGACAAGTTAATACACAAAAGCTAACCAGAGTATAGTAACCCACACCAGCTTTAGCATGCGAACAAAATACCTCTTCTTTTTTAGTGTGTATCCCTTATCTTTTTACATGAAATGTTTACTATATATTGCATTTTTTTGATACTTACAAACTTCTGAAATGGTAGGCTTAGATTTTAATATGTTCTTATATTTAACATGTTTATTACTTCTTCTAAAATATCATAACAAACAAATTTAACATATATCAAAAACAATTGAAAGACAGAAACTTTCTTTCCTTTGGACATCAGATTTTTAAAAAACAGGAACAGGATTTACAAATTATACAAAATGAGCTGCATATGTAATACTGACATGCAGTTATTCAGAAGATACTGGTTTTAGCTGCTTCCAGGTAATGGAAGCAGTCTCTAATGTCAACCCAGAAAATACATGCAATTGCTAGCTAGCCTCAGAGATACTACATACACATGTACAAAAAAAAAAGATGGAGAGGCAAGCAAAACTTAGAAACTTGGTAATTTCTTACTTTTCAGATATTTTGAATATATCTAAAAAAATTACCAGATAAGATATCATATGATCTTAAAGAAAGGAACTCTTAATACAGTATTAAGGAACAGTGAAATTGAGTTATTAAGGCCAAAGCAATAGTTTTCTTGATGACTTCAGCCTCTTAAATAAGACCCAAATAGTTTCATTCTGTCAGCTAAATTTAATCCAAGAGATGACTTTTTAAATGCTAATACTGTCAAACCTCTTTCAATAATATTTTAAATACACACACAAACTAATATATTATTTAGAAGTTTATCTCATTTCTTTAAGTATGGGTCTTGGGCTGATCTGCCGAACACTGGGGAAATACAAAATAAATTAGCAATTTGCTTGTTTCTTTTTAAGGATCTTTACTAAATAACTCAATTAAAAAACAATTTTTGTGGGAAGAATCAGGTGGATGATTCTTATTTGGGGGTTATAATAAAGAAGGACTCATGTGATTAAGGGGGAACTGCACTGTTGTGGGTCAACAAAAATCTGAAGGGTTGTAGTTTTGTAGGCAACTGAAAAATCTGAAATGATAAAAAACTGAAGGTACTGCTTCTTGGTGTAGAAGACATAGGACACACTTTCACAAAGAAGTTTCATAATAGCTAACTTTTCATTAAATCTAGAGCCTGTAACATACACATATGTATCTTATTTCAGAAGAGGCAGTGACTCAAAGATGCTTAGATTTAACTTCTGATTCAGTCAAATAAAGTCCAAATGTTTGGAATTAAATAACCCACTACTCGCCAAAAATCCATAAAATGTTCACACCGGATAGACCAAGATTAACTCTCCTACAAAGAGAAAAAAGAAAAGTTTTAGTGGAATTGGTTGCCAAGCATTTAAGGTCTTTTTTCCCAAATAACTAAAACAAGAGTCTTTACAAGGAATACATGTTTAATATGATATTTAACACTTTTCTGCAATAAGTTATGTAACACATGGTTTTTCAGGTGAATTCTAGTAACAGTAATTACTTTCTTAACTGTGCTTAAAATCCAAATTTAGAATAAATGGATTTATGGAGTGTTGAAAATTAATTTTTTCAGTGGACCCCAAGAACTATTACTATAGACAGTCAGCAGAAAAATTTTAGGAAGTAAGATTAAAGTAAAAGTATTGATAAATTTTAAAAATGGAGGCTACAGAGATGCCAGGCCTCTTAGACAATCTTACATACTTGAATTAGGAGTTTTCTAATGAATAGAAATGCTTTAAAAAATCTGCATATGAGTATTAATACAGCTTACACTAAACCACACTGCATATGACAAAAAGAAAAATCTACTTCTATTTCAGGGAAGAATATAACTGTATTCGAAGTATGAAGGGAGGAGAAGAGGGCCATAAAGATAAATTACTCATCTAACAAAATAAATCAACCTACAATGTCCAAGTCTGAGGAATCAATGGAGAGCTGCATACTTCCATTACCTGGAACTGCAGGAGTATAACACCAGAAGAAAAAGCTACAAGAATTTCAAATGGCTGCTTCTGGGAAGCGGGCTTTGGGAATACTGGGAACTGCTTATTTCTGTCATGAACTTCTAGCACAATGTGGCTTTTAAAATTAAGAGTATGCATTAATTTTGATAACATTTTTTAAAAAGTTACCAAAAATGCCCTTCAAAAAAGGTCATTTCATCAACTGTGTTTCCCCATTTCTTCACATCCTCACCAACACTGCAAATGATAAATCTCAATCTGATAGAAAAAAAATGTTTTAATTTTGGCTTGCTTGTGTATGAAGCTAAATAAACATCCTTTCATGTTTATTAACCATCTGCACAACATTTTTCTATGAAAAGTCTTTCATGTCTGATTATTTTCTATATTTTAATTTTCTAATTAACTTATATATACTCTTTATATATGATGGGTATTAACTTGGGTTTGCTCTATGTGTTGCAACTATAATGCTTTGTGTCAGCTTGTCATTTAGCTTTAAACTTTATGGTGTCTTTTGCTGAACAGGACACTTAAATTACTATGTAGTCAATTCTGTCTAAATTTTTTTCCCTTTTGGAAGTAAAACATTTATCTCTTTCCAGTAACACACAAATATGTGGCACTGAATTGATAATGTATTTGGATCAATCTGCTGCTTTATAGACATGATTCCAAATGGACTATATTTGAGCCACTTGTTTATTTCCTTTAAGATAATAGAAGAGTAGTTTCTAACTATTTGATTATTCAAAAATGTATTAAAAAGATTAATCAATCAAATTTTAAAAGATAATTTCAAAGTTTTTTCCCTTGATTAAAAAAAAATCCCAAATAAATAAAACGTGTATTAGTTTTAGTCTAAAGTATCTCACTTTCCACATGTAAGTTGATCTATCAGAGAAGAAAAGCACTTTAAAATTATATCAATTTTTTGGCCTCTGAATAATTATTGCCCCACTAAGTACTTTTAAAGATTTTACGTTTTTATGCATATAACAAACTATGTATGGCACTCAACACAAGCTTCATGCTATCATGACAAATCACTTATGCATCAAATATCAATTTGGATTTTTAGAGGAAAAGATAAATTTTCAATTAAACCCCAAAATTCATTATTTATTTAATACATTTCTAAATTCATTCTTCACTTCAAAACAGCCTTCCAGAAACACTTAAGAATTACAAAACAATATATTTATAGCATATTCTACCTTTCTAATATATGCATATTTATAACTAAATACTGCTAGAAAATTCAGAGGGAAAAAATCTGTATTTATTGACACAGTAGAATATCCAAGATATGCCATAAGATTAAAAAGCAGGTCACAGAGAAAAATGTTTGAGCACAACATATTTTTAAACAAAATGAAAAATAGCAACAAAATCAACTTTTCTCAGAAAGTAGTCTGGAAACAAACCAGAAACTGTTAACACATTGGGCACCTCGAGGGAGTGGGATTGAGAGAGCTGATCAGGGGGAACTTTCAATTTCTAGTTTATACACTGCTGTATTGTTTAAATTTAAATATTGTTTAAACATTTCTATATTAAGCATGCATCATTTTTATAATAATAATAAAGAAAGAGGCACCATAGCTTAGATACCTGACAAAAGTGAGTTTCCTACTTAATCTTTCTTACATTAAAAAAATATGATCAAAAAAGCTGATAAATGTTAATAAATTTGTTTATGTCTTTTAAAATCCTTTCAGGAACGGACTCCTGATGTTTCCTACTCAGTCCTTCCCTTTATGTTATTTTAGCTTTAGGTTACTTAGTGCGGGCAGAGCTGGACCCAGAACCCAGATTTCAGACTCCCAGACCTTGTATTACCAGCTTCCCCAGCATTAGCTGGGATCCACTTACTTTCAATATTATTTGAAGCACTAAAATTTCAAATCACCAAAATGACAAAGACAGCAGTTTTGAAATTATTTTAACAGTATGTGAGCTTCATTACTAAGTATTTAGAATAAAAGTAAACAACTTCAACTGACCATTTCCCCACTCCAGTGAACAATATTATGGACTGGGTGCTGACTCAGTCTCTCTAGAAGTGTAAACATTTTGCAGAAGGCTCTGTGGCTGACATGGAATGGCTTGAATAAAAATAGGACTCCGGCTGCTTTTTTTTTTTTTTTTTTTTAAATTTTAAAGTGGCAAGAGGTTGATGTATCAGTCGTTCCTCTGGGGGACACAACTGTAAAGCCAATGATGTGGTCCAACTGCCTTTTTATCAATAGGGAAATGGAGGTCTCTAGGAACCAATGGAGTTGCTCAAGATGGCAGAGCTGAGCTACTACTACAAGCCGTATCTCTTATTGTTCAATCCACAGTTCTTTTCAGTATGTGATGCTGCACTCTGCAGAATCTTAACATAGGAAGAAAAACAGTAAATAAATTAAGTACTTGTATTTTTAAAGCATAAATACCTACCCAAGCATTCCTGACTCTTTGGTCTTTATGATGTAAAGGAACATTAACAATGTATGAAACATATTATTTCGGCCCTGCAACAAAGACAAAAAAGATAGCAAGATTTAAACCAAACCAAAGACTCGGCCTGACAGGTAAATGTGGAGCCTATCAATTTACACTCTACTAAGTCAGAATTCCACATACTCAGACTTTCACCCATTCATTAAACAAAGTTTCTACTTTTGAGCTAGGAAGTAGGAATATTGTGGTGAGTAAGACAGAGAGGATCCATACAATCGAGGAGCTCAAAGTCTAGTAGGAAAGGCAGAAAGTAAACTCAGAATTAAAAATAAAGTGTGATGAATGTTACGAGAGAGGAGGAGGTATAGAGGGCCGTGGGAAAACAGGCATTAAACCCTGACTGGTGAGGCAGGCAATGTCTCCATGAGAGAAAGATCTTTGAGATCTGAAAGATGAGCAGAAATAAACACATTGGGAAGTTCCCACACACTGGGAGCAGCATTTATGAGGGCCTGGAAGGGAGCTATTCTGAAGTTGGTGCCCCTATGTTCTACACACAAAAAATGCTCTATCGCAAAAATTAACAGCATAAACGAAAGTGCTGGAATTAAAAAACCTTTAATCACACTTCAAAATACATTATGTAAGTAACATGTTAAATGTAAATTAATTTTATCTACAAGGGACTACAAGGCAGCATTTTGCTGGCACTAAAATCAAACTATTATATGTAATATTTGGTCTGAAATAGCTCCTAATACAGATTTTCAATTGAATGATTGAAGCTTAAATGGCCCCAAATAATCACATTTACAAAGTTGAAATATTAAAGTTAAAAAAAAGTCTTTCCTGGGTATCTGATGGAGTGGAAAACATAATATATAAATATAGTAAATGTGTAATTTCTTAGTAAAGATGCTGGCAACAAAAATAACTACAAAGGTCATCAACAGAATGGATATTTTTAATCAAGAGTAAAATACCTGGACAAGTGTAAACTGGTACAATAATCTTTTTTATAAAGTAATTTGATAATGTATTTTATTAACCTTGAAAATATTCCGTAATCTAAACTTCTACTTTTGGACTTCAGACTAAAGAAATCACCCAAAATGCAGACAGCTATATGCATAAATATAAAAATTTAGCAGTACTTATGATAATGAAGGATAAGAAACATTCAAAATGCCCAAATATATGGAAGTGGTTGAATAAATTATGTTACAATCTTATGATGAAGTTTTAAAAATACCCATTAAAAAGTATTTTTATGAAGACTTAAACTGATAGGAACAGATACTACACTTGATCTTAGCCAAAAGGCTGAGAGGTGATTATGAAGACTTTTAAAAGCATGGAAAATTGTTACACAGTTAATTTTTAAAAGGATATGAAACTACACGAATAATATGATTTCACCCCATAAAAAAGTACAGAGAAAGACCAAAAAGAAATTTACCAAAAACCAATACACCAAAATGTTAACAATAGCTTCCTCTAAATAATGGAATAATGAGTGATTTTTCTTCCTTTTTTTCATGCTTTTCTAAATTAGATATAAAAGTAACACATTTTCCCTAATTTAAAAAGTTTACCTATTCCACAAATAAGAGTCTCTAATTTTAAAAATATTATCAAAGCAAGTCATCCATGACATTCTGTAATAGCAACTTCTACATTTAGAAGTACCTTTGGAAGATTGTAGACATGACGCTGGTAGATTAGCTCATAATGGGGAGGGTTGACAGCACTCTGATAAATGCAAAAAACATTCTCATTTGTCACATCTGTAAAGGAAATATGCTACATTAGAAACAAAACAAAATCACTATATGTATTTCATGTGAAAAGCTCAACTCATTCTTTCACAAGAGGTTTATACCTGGTTTATTTGGTGTCTGAACAAAGTGCTGAGAAGTAAATGTCTTTCCATCAGGGTATTTAGGATGTGGAGGCAATCTGGAATCAAGGTAGGTGCAAAACACATGCATGATGATCTGAAGATGAGGAAACAAATTTTCAAAGTCAGCATGAAAATCTATCAAGTATGTAGGACTTTCAAAACATCTGTTTATAATGACTCTGATTTTTAAATTTTTCCCTAAAGAAAGAATTAGCAAAAATGCTTTCAAGTGGTTATATTTGTAAGGTGAAATTTATAAAATGAAAAAAGAGATATTCCTAGTTTTCTGTTAAGTGGATCATTCACACCCATAGTTAATTAACAGCAAAATCAAGACAAAATACACATACATTCAATTCTCAACTTGAGTATCAGAATTTAAAACTTCATTTTCACACATAAGTCATAAAAAAAAAACATAACTTTGAAAAACTCTTAAATGCTCAAAATCTTTATAGTCTTTGATCTCATAAATCTAATTCTAGCAATCTTTCTAAAGCCATAATCCCAAAGAAGAAAGAAGCATGCCTTATGTTATTCCTTGCAATATTATTAAAGGTAGAAAAACAGAAATTCCTAAAAAAAAAGAAAAAAAAAAAAAAAGAAAAAGAAAAAGAAAAACAGAAATTTCTGCCTCTACTACATATGTCCTAAACTTTTAAGTTCAATATAGGAGAAAAGTTAAATGACAGTGTGTAATAATGAAAATACTTAAACACCGGAAAGTGAAAAAAAGCAGGATACAAAATTTTTTATATGAGATGATTATAGCTATGACAAAAATATTAAAAAATAGCACAATCTAAGTAAAGGGGAAAAAAATACACCAAAATATTAACAGTGGTTGGGTTAAGAAGATGGCACAATTTCAATTTTTTAATATCTACACTGGTTTCTAAATTGTTTCTTTTTCAGTTTTATATATATTTATTTATTTATTCTTTTTCAGATTCTTTTCCATTACAGATTGTTATAAGACACTGAATATAGTTCCCTGTGCTATACATTAGGTCGTTGTTGTTTATCTATTTTATTTATTTATTTTCTTTTTGAAAAAACTTTACTAAAGTATACTCGGTTTACAATGATGTGTTAGTTTCTGGTGTACAGCATGGTGATTCACTTATATATATATTTCTTTTCATATTCTTTTTCATAATAGGCTATTACAAGGTACTGAATATAGTTCCTCTAAATTGTTTTTGATACTTCTGTTTGTAATGGGAAAATAAAAACACATAAACCTAATACCAAAAATGTTAAACATAAAAAACAAAATAAAACTGGGGACTTACAGCAGAATCAGTGGGCAAGTCTGTATCCCACTTGCGGCCTTTGAAGTCTCCACCTCTATTCCATCGAAATGAGCTCATACAGCCTCCTTGAGAAAGTTCTGTAGCAAGAAAGGTGAAATTAAAAAAGCTAAGAATATACAAAAGAGAAGAAAAAAAGGCTAAGGGGTTACAATACGGAAAGTATATCATCTTAAAAACCTGATCAAAACATGTGCACAAAAAAATAAAAGATATAAAAGACTAATTTAAATAGCACCATGAAAAAAGAATCAGATAAATCCAAAATGTGAGACAAGATTACTATTTTGGATTCTTAAAAAAGCCAATGTCAATTTGACACAACATTGTAAAATGACTATAACTCAATAAAAAAATGTTAAAAAAAAAAAAAGCCAATGTCATGTGGGGGAAAAAAGGTGGCAGAACTGTTCTAGACAAAGAGACCGAAAAAAGGATAAAACAACACAATATAATGTGTGAATGTCAACTCTATGTTGGTTAGGAATAAGAAGGGTGTATAACATTCTTTGGAAAATAGGGAAATTTGAATATAAACTATGTATCAGATGATACTATATAGAAATATTATTAATTCAGAAGGTCTCATAATTGTGTTACGGTTATGTAGGGAAGTGTTACTTTAGGAACTCGCGTGCTGAAAAGCAATGATGTGTGCAATGATAGAGCAAAAAAAAGGTATGTGTACATATGAGGAGAAAGAGAATCAAATATGGCAAAATGTTGCTAAGTGTTCAATCTAGAAGGCCATATAGTGTTCGTTGTATTTTTAAAACTTGTACAATTTGATATATAAAACTTTATATGCATATATACTTTGTATATACGTGCACAAACATATACTTTTTCTGGATATATAAATATTTTGCTGTCTATGAGGCAGTCTTGCCAAAAACTGCAACCTGAATTTACAGGAAATACACAGGATAGAGGATCATTTAAAAATACACCATGGGGATGCATTCAGCAAAATCCACACCATGGGAAACTCTACAGGACAAACCAGTTTTTTCAACAAATAAGTTGCAAAGAAAAAAAAAAAAGGATGGATGGGAAACCTACAGCTTAAAAGAAACTTAAATATATTAACCAATCACAACATGTGATAACATTTTAATCCCAATTTAAACAAACAACACGAAGAACAGTAACAATACATTTTATGAGACTGGGTGTTACGTACAAGAGGTTTGTGCATACTGTTGTGTCTAGTTTTAAGTATGTTTGAATTCTCCTTATATAAAAAGTCCTTTAAAATGTAATGATAAATGCTTACTCCTGAACCACAGCCCAAACCTAGAAGAGTAGAGAATCTTCAAATTAAGAGTAAAGAGTAATCTTCAAAGTAAGATTTATGATAAATCTAAAGAGTGAAATACCATTTCTAAAACTTGTTTCAGTGATGAGAACATTTTACAGAGTTTATTCAAATAAAAGTAGGAAGGCATAAAGAGTATGTGGGAGTATCAGGGAGGCTAAATCTCCTGATTCCCAAGTCAGTCTTCTCAGAAGATCGTATTCCCTCCCAAATAATCAGAATATAACAGAAATATAAAGAAATAACATATTAAACAAGAATTATAAAAACTGAAAGAAATAAGGATTGGCATGCTGAAATTATGAAGAATGTCACTGTGATACCTATTTTTGGTAGTTTAAGATAGAAAATGAGTGGAATATTCATGTGAGCCCATTTAGCTCATATTTAGGTTTTCCTATATAGAATAATTAATGTATTCAAGGGTAACTACATTATTTTGACAATTCTTAAGCACATAAAATGTAAAACCCAAAAGTTGTTCAAGTATAAGCCTAATGAAGCCAAAATTAAATATATATTTATAAAGTATAAGATCATACTTAGTGAAACTTACACTTTATTCAAAGAATTTCTTCCTTGTTATCTTTATTTATAAAATCTCAGAGTAGTGAAAAAGTTCTCATTTTTTTCCCCTCTTCAAATCAATAGTTACCTTTGATCCTTTCAAACAAGTATTCCTGATTTGGTGTGAGGTCTAGATACTGCACGATTGTATTCAGAGTTGGAATGAGTGGAGCTTTGACCAGAGCAGCCTGTTTCAAGCTAGTAATACTAGCCTCTGTTAATATTAAAACACACAGAACACAGATTATTCTTCATGTGAATCTCTGAAAAACTTCAAATGTTCTTCCCTCAACAGATGTTGAAGGAATAAACAAAAGCAATGACAGCTTATCTTAACAATCTGCATTACCTACTCTATCTACAATTTATCATTTCTGGCAAACTGGCCAGATTTACACATACACACACACACATATACACATACACACTCCCAAAACAGTCAAGTCCATTTTGGCAGATCTCTAAACAATTAATAGATTTTTGTGGGTTATACATAAAAAGATACATGATAGCTCTCAAACTCAGGTTGAATTCAAAGTTGTCCATTATGCCAGTGACAAGTGAAAACTTTATACAATACTGATTTCTTTCATCGTATCATGAAAGACAATTATCCAAAGAAATTAATAAGCCAACAGAAATTTTCAGAATGTCCAACCTTATTAGTAATACCCAATGTTGGGAAAAAGGCTTTCTTACATGTGACATGATTGCTAGAATATAAACTGGTATAAGCTTTTTGAAGGATTATGTACATTAAAAACCTTAATATATTTATGCCTATTAAACTAACAACTTCACTTCTAAGAAATTATCCTAAAGAAATAATCATAAATGCACACAAAGTTTTAGGTAAAAAGACGTTTACTCACAGCACTATTAATAACACTAAAGGTTAAAGTTTCTAAATCTTAGATAATAAAATTGGTCAGTTAAATATATTACATATATAAAAAAGAAAGTCTAACCATAAAAATAGTACTGAAGAATATTTAACAAAATAGAAAAAATGGAGGGAAAAAGCATGTAACAAAGTAGTATGATCACAGTTTAATTAAAAATATATACATATACATGTACCATGTACCCTATTTCCTCAATTCCTAAATATACATTTTCACATTAATATCCTTAAATAATGGTATAACTTACAATTGATATATATAGCTAGTATCA